TAATGGATGTAAACGACTGATGAAAAAACACATGTAAATGGATAAAAAAACAGATCAAAAACAGATGAAAAACACAGGTAAATGGATGAAAAACAATGAAAAACACATGGTAAATGGATGAAAAACAATCAAAATCAAATGAAAAACGAAAGTAAGAGAACACACGGTCCAGTTTTTGCATCTGTTTTTGCATTGGTAATGGATGTAAAAAACTGATGAAAAAAAAACACATGTAAATGGAATGAAAAACATGAAAAATGCATGTAAATGGATGAAAAACATGAAAAATGCATGTAAAATGGATGAAAAACACAGATCAAAAACATAAAAAGCATGTAAATTGATGAAAAACAGATCAAAAACAGATGAAAAAGGCATGTAAAAACGGATATAAAAACAGAGATATAAAGTGAAGTCTTAAAACATTTAGCTCCAATTTTGGAAAAAAAAATGCGACTGAGAACTGGTGGAAAGAAGGAACTCCCGTGTGAAGGAGCCCTTGATACAAGATGATATCATAGATCCCTGCATGCTCTACTTCTCACATATGTAACTAGAGATGAGCGAAGAAATGAAAAATTCGATTCGATTCGACTGATTTCGCGAATTCGTGGACAATATTCGATTCGAGTCGAATAAATTCGCTGTGAATTTAACTTAAAAAAGGGTGTTTCTAGGCTTCAGAGAGACTTAATATTATGCAGAACACTGTACCTTTAATTAAATGCCCTTGGAGTCTGCTGGGGAAGAGAAATAATACTGTCAGTCAGTATGACATGCAGATGAGTGCCGTCGATCTTAGAATCACCGCACACTTCACTCATTTGGCAGTCACGGGGCCAAAACCAGAGTGTGGAGCCACAGTGTGGCGGTGGAGGCAGCAGCAATGGGAGGCCATACAGCACCCTATGACAAAAATGGAAACCACCAGCAGTGTGAGGAGACCTGAAAGTGGCACATGGCAGAGTGTGGCGATAGAGACAGCAGCAATGGGAGGCCGTACAGGACCCATGACACACTCTGGACCTGGCAGCAGCATGAGGAGCGGTACAGGGGCCCATGACAGATTACGGGCCTGGCAGCAGCATGAGGAGTCGGTACAGGGGCCCATGGCAGATTACGGGCCTGGCAGCAGCAATGGAGGCCGTACAGGGACCCATGACACACTCTGGACCTGGCACAGCATGGGGAGGCGGTACAGGGGCCCATGACAGATTACGGCCTGGCAGCAGCATGAGGAGTCGGTACGGGCCCATGACACACTCTGGACCTGGCAGCAGCATGAGGAGGCGGTACAGGGGCGCATGACAGATTACGAGCCTGGCAGCAGCAACTTGGACAGGAGGACGTTCAGCTTCTGCACCGTCGGGTGCGTGCTCGCAAACTGTTGTCTCTTGGAAACGGATTCCAAGAAAGACTGCTGACGGAATCCGTGAAGAGGAGTAGCAGGAGAAGGAGCATCTGAACGAGCGGAATATGCCAACAAGCGACAACAGTGGCCCATGACAGATTTACGGGCCTGGCAGCAGCATGAGGAGTCGGTACGGGGGCCCATGGCAGATTACGGGCCTGGCAGCAGCTATGGGAGGCCCGTAATCTGCCAGCACCCTATGACAAAAAATGGAACCCACCAGCAGTGTGAGGAGACCTGAAAGTGGCACATGGCAGAGTGTGGCGATGGAGACAGCAGCAATGGGGGAGGCCGTACAGGGACCCATGAGAGACTCTGGACCTGGCAGCAGCATGAGGAGGCGGTATAGGGCCCATGGCAGATTAGGGCCTGGCAGCAGCTATGGGAGGCCCGTAATCTGCCAGCACCCTATGACAAAAAATGGAACACACCAGCAGTGTGAGGAGACCTGAAAGTGGCACATGGCAGAGTGTGGCGATGGAGGCAGCAGCAATGGGAGGCCGTACAGGGACCCATGAGAGACTCTGGACTTGGCAGCAGCATGAGGAGGCGGTATAGGGGCCCATGGCAGATTAGGGGCCTGGCAGCAGCTATGGGAGGCCCGTAATCTGCCAGCACCCTATGACAAAAAATGGAACACACCAGCAGTGTGAGGAGACCTGAAAGTGGCACATTTTTGGGCATGATCATGGCGGATTTAGTCAGTTGTGTCAGGAACTGGTGGTTTGAAATCCAGACTAATCCACGCCTGATTCATTTTCACAAACGTGAGTCTCCTCCACACTTTGGGTGGACAGTCGTGTCCTCCGCGGAGTTGCAATACCTCCTGCCGCACTAAACACGCGCTCCGATGCCACGCTACTGGCCGGCATGACAGCCTTTCAAGGGCAAATTCAGCTAGTTGGGGCCAAAGGTCAAGTTTCGTTGCCCAGTAGTCAAGGGGATTGTCTACCTCGGTTGGCAGGGTGCTGTCCAAGTAGGCCTAAGCCTGTTGTTTGAGGTCCTGCTCCAGGTCCACCTGATGCTGCTGCTGCTGCTGCGGCTGGTTAGTAGTTTCCTCACTGCGCTGGTGAAGAAAGCTACTCATCATCGACTGCAGACTGAGGCAGCCGCTGCTGGTGGAGCTGCCACTGCTCCTACCACCCCACCCCTCCCCTGCTGCCATGGCAGCGGAACACGAGCGCACACAGAGGGCCCACAGTGTCTGAGGATGGACGTTGGCGCAGACAGGCAGAGACCAGCTGACTACATAGGTGTTTTTTATAGTACGTTATTTTGGCCTCCCCTCTCAGCAGGTGTGAAAAAGGCCACCATTTTTGAACGGTAGCGAGGGTCCAACAAGGTGGACAGCCAAAAGTCATCCCTCTGTCTGATGGTTATTATTCGGGCTGTCGCTACGCAAGCAACCGAGCATGCTATGGGCCATT